CAATTCTCCCCCAAGGAGTTCAGTCACAAATTTAATTAACACATTATTTAACAAGCGTCATCAGCATGGACATGTTTAGCATATATGGCACGTAAATACCGTACCTTGCAATGCCAGCTACAAAAGTGCCATCCGAACGTCTGTTCTCACTTTCGGGTGACATTGTAAATTAGAAGCGGGCAGCATTATCTCCCGTAAACAAACTTGTTTCTCTTAGCGATTGGCTGAACAAGAAGTAGGACCGAGTGGATTTGCAGGCTCTAAAGTTTTACATTGTTTTGGTTTTCAGTGCAGTTATGTAACCCAAAAAAAAAAAAAAAAAATCTACATTTGTAAGTTGAGCTTTAACGATAAAGAGATTGCAATATGGTATTTGTACGAGGTGAATTGAAAAATACTATTTATTTTGTTTATCATTTTTACAGTGCAAATATTTGTAATAATAAGAATATAAAGTGAGTACTGTACACTTTGTATTCTCTATTGCAATTGAAATCAATATATTTGAAAAATGTAGAAAAACATCCAAAATATTTAATAAATTTCAATTGGTATTCTATTGTTTAACAGTGCGATTAAAACTGCGATTAACCGTGATTAATTTTTTTAATCGCGATTAATTTTTTTGAGTGAATGATATAAGGGGCTAAGATTTACCCTGGCTTCTCCATACAGTAGTATTTTGGGACAAGATTCTGCAACACTGAAGACCACTCACATGAGTAAAGTTTCGTACGTGTTTGCAGGATTAGAGCTTTTCTTCCAACTGAATTTATAGTATTAAGAGTAACAAAAATTCTATAGACACTGAAAACAAAGTGCAACAACAAACAACTAAATCGCAATGTATTTAAAAACACAGACATGGGGCCAAATCTAGAGATTACATACAAAGATGCAGCTTTGGACTTCAGCAGAGATACACCTGGATATGTCAGGTCCGAATTTAACCTAGATGTCATTGGCAAAAAATTTTTTGGCTCTACTTTTCCTCTGGGCTTGTGGGTAAACTCAAGGACCTTATTATTTATGCTGGGTCTTTTTATGAAGTCTTAGCAGGTTTTGTAAGTGTTAGGATAAAGGATTTATTTTATGTATATCTATTTGTGGGTTATATTTGTTTTGACAAGGCTAATACTTAATAAAAAAAAATCCACATTTTCTGAGGACATAGGAAACGTGCTTGGGATGAGAACATTCACAAGTTTACAATATCCTACCTTCTCACAGCGAGGTAGCTGGCAAAGAGAGCATACACAACATGTATGATCCAAACCCAGCACATTTGGGGGTAGATAAAAATACCTAAAGAGACTAGTTTTCCTAACACTAACTGGTCCCCCCAGGGTTGAGCTCTTTGTTCTCTCTCGGAGTGCAAGTCCTTAGTTTTGAGGCTCACTTCTTCAGGCAATCTGGCTATGCCTGTGTCCACTCACTTTTACAGCACTATGTAAAAGCACAAAAACCAGGTGCTTTTCTTAAGCACAATATTTTCCAGTTGATAAGATCTGCTCTTCAGTGAGTGAGGCCTAAAACTAACTCAGTTTACTTCATACTTAGGGTTACTATTAAAAGAGTCCAATTCTGTAATGTAAGCCACATACCAAGATTATGCAGTCCCCAAGAAACCCCATTAGTAACAATGTCAAATACACTACAGTTCATTCACAGTGGAGTTCCCCACGATTGCGACAGTGATTGACATGATATACAGATTAATTAATTACACAGTAATTAATCTGTACATTGACGTCAGGCAAACTGGTACACAGCTACACCTACAAATAGATTGACAGTATGATAATCTGCTCACAGTAATAGGATTTACCTCTGTTTCTTCTCCCAAAACATCTTCTTCATTTGCTTCTTCTTCAGCTAAAAGAATTTTAAAAAATCCACAGATTAGAGAGAGATTAACTCCTAGAAGCCTGATTTTCTCCACACTAATAAGTAAGTGAATGTTGTAAAGATTCTATTCAGGTTCTTACATCAGGCCCATCACCACAATATGTAAGCATATACTCTAGGAATTGTTTTGGAGAAGCTCTGTGGCCCGTGTTACACAAAATGTATACACAGACACTTCATAAATTTGAGGTTTTTTTAGGGGGTGGGAATTGGGATCAAAGAAGAAAAGAATACACCTTGAATTACTCAATATTACAGTCACTCTCCATACATAGACTTGGATGGGAGCGTGACATGAGGAACACCTGATTAATTGGGCCTATCACCAAGAAAATTCTGAGGACTGTCTCATCAGGGAGATTCTCAGAGGCTACAGCCACAGGATAGCTCTTATTGCAAGAGTCTCACAGCAAGCCCATGTAATGGGGACTGTTCACAACAGCTAGAATCTATAAAAAGGAACCAATTGGGGAGAGTTCAAAATTCCTGTAAAAACAAAGAGGCCACAGCTGGACCCTGAGTCGACCTTGCTAGAGGGACCCCTCGAACTGCAAAGCTTGCTCCAGCTCAACATATTACCCACCGTGTTCATCAAGGTAGGCCTGGAGTCTGTTTATGAGATCCTGTTTGTTTCCTTTCACCTCCAGGCCACGGGCGAGACATTCCTGTTTCAGTTCAGCAAGCTGCGTACCAGAAGAGACTTCCCATTAGCATACTTAATTCATTCAAGTTTGCAAAGAACAGGAGGAACACCACCAAAGCAAAAAATGAGCAGACCAGATAAACCAAGAGCATTGGCACGGACAAAAGAAAAGGCAATAAGTCTAGTGGTTAGAGCTGGGGGGGGGACCAGGAGTCAATGAGTGGGTTCTTTCCAGCTTTTTCATTGGCTCCCTTTGTGTAGCCTTGATTTGACTTTACCCCTGACATCGAGGATTCCACAGAAAATGTACTAGAAGGGAACAGTGCTGCACTAGAAAGGACTCGGATAATCTACTAGAATTTCTCCATCACAATTTCTGTAATTCTCTCGGTGCCTCCATTTCTCCCATTTGTCAAATGCCTCAAGCCCTCTGAGGTAGATAGGCACTTCACAATCCTTGGACAAAAAGAGCTCGAGAAGGACAAAAGATGGATTATTAACAGAGGGTCCGAATCTGTGCTGTGCTCCCCCTGAGAACTGCTTTACATCCTGCAGATTCTGAGTTGCTCTGGGGACTGGAACAGAAACGTAACTGCAGACATTACACCCCACATTGGACAAAAACAGCAGAAAAATTACATTGTTCTATAGTAACAATCTCTCTAGTCACACTCCTTAAGTATAATTACACCTGCCTAGTCACCCCAAAATACTCAAGATATGAAGAACTTCCAATCGCTACTTGCTATCATTAGTGTTATCATAATAGTCAATTGAAAATTCTGAAGATAAGAGCATAGAGATGATGCCTAGTGCCCAGGGACCGGGAGTCACGACTGCTGGGATTTGAGAGGAGTGTGTTCTAGCGGTTAGAGCAGGGACTAACCTGCTCTAACCACTAGCAGAGTCAGGATTCCTTGAAACTACCCTCAACTGTGCCAATGATTTATTGATGCCTTGGACAAGTCAGTTCATCTCCCCCCAAATCTAATAAATAAAAATATGTGCCTCTCTATTTAACTGTTTCAAAGACATTAAGATGAAAGGTCCTTCTGTATGACACCATAGTCATGTTATTGAAACCACAGAAGTTAGAGACAAAAGAGCCATTAGATTATCCAGTCCATTTGCCTGGGCCCAATTCAAGATTATCCCCTAATGATCTCTTTCTAGTGTTCTGCCCAGGCTAATTTTAAGAGTCCTAAATACAGGCTTCAATCACAATCCTCACAAGATTATATTACAGTCAAACATCATCTTGCTATCAAAGTTTCTTCCCCTGTAGAATTCTGACATGCTTGTTCATTAGCATCATACAGGTTTGGTGATATTTCTTCCTAAGACAAAGACTAGAGGACATGCTGAGAAAACCCAGAATGTTGATTATTCTGGGTAGGTTACTATACGTACCTGGTGTGCAATGACTGATATTTGGCTACCCTGTCATCAGGTCCTCGCCTTATTCTTTTGCTTCAGTAAAAGTAATGCCCATTTAAGCATTGCCCGCAGCAACAGCATCACACACCAACAGGTGGAGGAACTCCCCACCACAAACTAAAAGATGCACCACTTTTGAAGCCCAAATATACTCTGGAAAGCCCCTATTTGGGGGGATGAGGCAGCCAGTGACCGCAGCTGCCCCCTTTGCCCGGGGGGTGGAGGGGTTTCTCAGCAGTATTTGAAGGGGCTGCCCTGCCCGGGGTTTTGTGAGTTTCTTATTTCACAAGCACCGGGGGGAGGGGGAAGGGGGGGCTCGCAGCGCGTCCCCATGGGCAGGAAACCGCTTGGGGGCGGCCCCATTTCATTGCTCAAAACACAGGCCCCGTAGCGGGGGCCCCGCCGGCCTCCCCCGCGCTCCCCAGCGGGATGCCGGGCAGCCCAGGGGACGGAGGCGGCCCCGGAGCTGCGGCGGCCCAGCCCCCCGGGATGCCCCCAGGGCGGGAGCCGGGGCAGGGCCACGCACGTGCCGCTGGCGGGAGCTGAGCGCTCGGAGGCGGCGAGGCTCGGGCGGCCCGGGGGGGTCTCGGCCTCTCCCGCGGGCGGGGGTCAGGCTCCCCGGCTGCCCCGCGGTGAGGGAGGCCGGGGGCCAGGCCCCACCCGCTATGAGGGGGAGGGAGGCGGGGCCCCCCTCCGTTACCTTCAGCTTGTGGAGCTCCACGGTCTCCGCCGCCATCTTGTCGCCTCCTCAGGTCGCTCCCGCCTGGCCCCGCCCACCCCGAGCGCCCGCCGCCCAATGACCCGCGCTCTTCCTGAGCGGGCGCTCAACCCGTCTCTCAATATCGCGCCTTCCTACTGGCCCAGCGGCACCCGGCCCTGCGGCTTCCTATTGGGCGCCACAGAGGGAGGGGCGGGGACAGAGGTGAGCGACGACGGCGCTGGCCAATAGGTGCGCAGGAGACGGAGGTGGGCAGCCAATAGAGGGCGGCAGCGGGGGTGGGGCGCAGGCAGGGGCACTTCCTGGAGACGAGCCGGGGGAGCGGTGTGGAGGTTCCGCACCAGCCGCCAGGTGCGTGAGGCGGGGGGGGTCGGTTATAGGGGCCCGAGGGCTCTGAAGGGGGAAGGAAGGTGGGGGAGGAGCAGCTATAGGGGCCTGCCGGCGGGGGGCTAGGGAGGAGGAGTGGCACCGGTGGGGGCGGGGCGGTCCGTGGTGGGCGGGGCACCGGTGGGGGCGGGGCGGCCTGCGGTGGGCGGGGCACCGGTGGGGGCGGGGCGGCCTGCGGTGGGCGGGGCACCGGTGGGGGCGGGGCGGTACGTGGGGGGCGGGGCACCGGGGGGGGCGGGGCACCGGTGGGGGCGGTACGTGGTGGGCGGGGCACCAGTAGGTTCTGGCAAGAGGCCAGGCCTGGGCCCCATTTCTAACTGGGAGGCGGTGCCCAAACCCCTAGAGAGGTACTAGCGGCTGGAGCTCTGGCTCAGGAGACCTGGGTTCTGTTCCCGGCTCTCCCCTTGGCCTGCTCGGTGGCCTTAAGCGAGTCATTGCCTCGCTCCGTGCCTCAGTTTCCCCATGGGTAGAATGGAGAGCATGATACTGCCCCCCTTTGCAAAGAGCTTTGAGATCCACTGATGGAAAGTGAGATTTAAAGAGCTAGGTGGTGGTGGTATTATTCTACTGGAAGGGGTGACGCGGCCATCTAAGGGCTGAGAGGTGGAGGGAGACATATGGGATGCAGGATGAGCTGTAGGTATTGTGGGGTGGGGCCATAAAGATGGGGAGAAACTAAAACCTGAATTACAGAGCAAAAGCAACTCATAGGGTCCCTGCAATTTCAGCTTTGCTTGCGGGATTTCCAGAATCACTAACAAGTACCATCCAGTGGATGAGCGTGGGGGATGAGGGGAGGGGGCTGGGAGTCAGGATGCCTGGGTTCTATTCCCCAGCTCCGGGCAAGGAGTGGGGTGTAGTGGCTAGAGGAGGCAGCTATGCCTGGGTCCCACTTCTCATTGCCGCTACCTCAGTTTGTGGCTGTGGGCCGGTTGTTTCCCCTCTCTGTGACTTGATGTTCTGCCCGTAAGATGGGGATACAGAGACCTTACCAACCCGCTTGGGGGCTGTGATGATTCATGCATTAATGTTTATAAAGCATCTGGGGACTCTTGGCTGCAAGATGTTGCAGAAGGACAAAGTATTAGAAAGAAACCTGGAATGGGCATGTGCCGAAAGCCGTGATCCCAAGGAAGGATGGCGTCAGGCACGTGGCGGAATCAGAAAACCTCGTCATCTCAGATGAGTAACGTTGGACTCTTCTCCTACACCCCGTCTCTCATTCAGGATGAACGTCGGGGTGGCCCACAGCGAGGTGAATCCCAACACACGGGTGCTGAACAGCCGTGGCATCTGGCTGGCCTACGTGATCTCGGTGGGAGTTCTCCATATCATTCTCCTCAGCATCCCGTTCTTCAGCATTCCCGTGGTCTGGACCCTCACTAATGTTATACACAACCTGGTGAGTCAAATCTCAGCCTCCCGGCTTGTTTTCCTGCACTGCTAGAAAGAGCAGGATTCGCCTCGGCTCTTTGGGCCCTGGCGGAGCTGGGATGAGGCCCAGTCCCTCCCTGCTGGGTCAGCACTCAGAGAGATGTAGCTATAGAGGGTGCTGTATTTGGGAAAGCTTAAGGTGATAGAGGAAGTACTTTCCTGACCCCCGCTGATGATCAGCTCTGGCCTGACGCATGACATTTCGTTATCCTTTTCCTAGTTTAGGAGCAAGAACTCCTGAGTTCTGTTTCCAGCTGCCGCTCTCTTAGGCAAGTCACTTTACCTAGGGAGAACTTACCTGCCCAGCCAGCCCCTTTCTAAACCCAGACGTGGTCTTTGACTCTGGCCTCCCTAACAATGAGTTCCACAGCTCCACTGCGCTCTAGCTTTGTGTCCTATCTGATCCCTGCCCCCCATTGTGTTAATGATAAAACAGCATAAGGACCCAGGCCCTCTCCTTACATCCTCCCTTCTCACCCTGGGAATTGCAGGTGATGTACTGGTTTCTTCACACTGTGAAAGGGACCCCGTTTGAGACGCCGGACCAGGGCAAGGATCGCCTGCTCACGCACTGGGAGCAGATCGACTATGGGACACAGTGCACCTCCTCCCGCAAGTTCCTCAGCATCTCACCAGTAGTTCTGTGAGTGTCCGTTCCTGCTGCTGTAGAGCTGCCAGGGGTGTTTCATTTCCAGGACCTGCCTGCTCTGCAGGGGGCCTCTGGTAGCAGTGCTTCAAACCTGCCCAGAGCTGCAGCTCCCAGGCACTCAGTGGGGCTCACTGCAGTTCCCCTCCTCTCCAGTACCCCTGCGTAGCCCAGGGAGACTACAAGCACATTATGCCAGGCTCCAGCTTTAGCTGAGCAGGCGTGAGTGGCTCAGGGAGGAGATGGGTTTGCTGTAGTCTGCGTGAAGCCATACTGGGCACTAGCCTACGCTGGGAAAGCCACCTCGGCTATAGAGTACGTCGCTTTTCAATGGAACTGGCCAGAGCCCTGCATGCCTTGGCAAGGTGGCTGCCCTCTGAGTATTGCAACTGGAGGGCACAAGCTCTCGGGCCTGAAACAAACCAGTGGGCATCAGGCTAGTCCTTGAAGGCTTGTGCCCTGAGCAGCATGGGCTCTGGTGACTGAACTCCGCCTGTGCCGGGGAAATAGTTCTGCATGAGGTTCATTGGCTGGGATGTTTGCATGACCACCTCTGCTGTCAGTCCAGCCTCAGAAATAGCTTTCATGTGCCATCACCCCAGCCGGGACTGGATGGCCACAGAACTAACCCTGCCTCTGTCTCTCTTCCAGTTACCTCCTCACCAGCTTTTATACCAAATACGACCCTGCACATTTTATAATCAACACGACGTCCCTCCTCAGCGTCCTCCTCCCCAAGCTGCCCCAGTTCCATGGCGTGCGCGTCTTTGGCATCAACAAATACTAAGAGTCAGCGCTGCCGAGCCAGCTGCGAGGGAAGAGGGGGCCCATCCCAACAAGGAGTAACGAACCCAGCGTGAAGGTGCTGTCCTGCCTGTGAACTAGGCCACTGCTTGAGCCACTTGGAGGGATTATTTTGCAAGGGGATTAAGTTACTCTCCCTACTAATCATCAGTATTTGGGCTTTATCTTTTGTTTGGGTGGAGAGAGCTGTGAGGAGGGAGGGGGTCTAAGTGTCACACGAGCTACCCTGTCAGCTGTCTACCGCTCATGTAACTGCGAGAGGGGAGAACTGCTGCCCAGCACGGGGGGAAATGGCCAGTCTGTGCATCCTCCCCATCCTTGTGTTTTATAAACTTCTACCGTAATAAAGACCTTTTAGAGACAACAGTGGTGTTCTTGCGAGGGGGCCCTAGGCTTAGAGGAATCAGCCAGGGGTGACGGTAAAGAACAGAAGAGATTCACTCAGGGGAGAGGATGTGGAGTGGATCCCGCCACCCACTGCTCGTTCCGCAGAAGAGAGAGGCTTCTTCAAATCATATTTTAATTTAACAAAAGTGATAAGAAAGAGATACACAATCATCTTAAAAACCTCCGTGCTCAGCCCTCAAGACAAAGGAGATGAACCGTGCCTACACCCGACATCAAACACTCACATGGCAATACAGGTCAGGAAGAGTGATTGATTGTCCAAGACTTATTTTTTTTGCAAAACGTATTTAAGCATCTTAAGGCAGCTCTGCCCCGCAGCAGCGCAAGCAGATGCGCTTCCAGCCAATCCGCTTCCCCAAACCTCCAGTAGCGCAGAGAAGCTGCAGAGGCACATGGACGGGAGCTCAGAGGCAGGGGAGAGAGGGAACATGCCTGTAACTCGGTTTCTGGCTCCCCCGCTGTGAACTGAGTTAGGCAGCCCTGGCAGCAGGGCCACAGAAGCCACGCAAGCTCAGGGGAGAAAAGACCAGAGCAAGCTGGCAGGTGAGAGCAGGGAGGGGTCCTTGGGCGTGGCTGCTCTCCTGTGCATGCTCAGCTCAAAGCCGGTGAGCCTGTGGCTTTCCGTGTACAGGGAGGCCCCAGCGAAAGAGAGGCTCTGGCATCTGCCCAAGGCAAGCTTTGCTGTACTCGCTCATGAGGAAAAGACAAGCTAAGGAGGCTGGCAGCCCCGCAGTAGACAAACTCCCCCTTAAACATGAAGGGGTACGGAGCAGCACGGTGGCTGTGGCAGCTGCCCAAGAGGAGCCAACAAGAAGCCACGAGCATACAGACCAAGAGGACATCACCATTCTGGAGCTGCCTCATTTCCTGCCCCATGTGATGGCAGCTAGAACATTACTGGAGGAGTTGTTCCCTCCTGGTATATTTCCAAGGCCCCTTAATGCACATTTTGGGGTCACCGAGGCACTACCAGCCAAGGTGTCCTTTGCAGCTGAGAACTAGAGAGAGCAAATCCCCAGCAGCCCTGGTTCTCCATGTGTGAGAGCTCAAGGTGGATCTCCATTGGGAAGAGCTTCCAGGTGAGGAGAGATTAAAAACGACTGGGACAGCTCAGCTTGGAAAAGAGATGGGGGGGAATATGACAGGTCGATAAAGTCATGAATGGTATGAAGAAAGTGACTAGGGAAATGTTATTTACCCCTTCTCATAACAAACCAACCAGGCATCACCCAATGAAATTAATAGGCAGCAGGTTTAAAACCAACAGTGGATCCCCCTCTGCACAATCAACTTGTGGAACTCCTTGCCAGGGGATGTGGTGAAAGCCAAAACTATAACTGGGTTCAAAAAAAGAATTAGTTAAGTTCACAGGGGAGAGGTCCATCGATGGCTGTTAGCCAAGATGGGCAGAGACACAGCCCCATGCTCTGGGTGTCCTTAACCTCTGACTGCCAGATGCTGGAATTGGAAGACAGGCTGGATCTCTCAATGATTGCCCTGTTCTGTTCACTCCCTCAGAAGCACTTGACACCTGCCACTATCTGAAGCCAGGACACTGGGCTAGCGGGACCATTGGTCTGACCCAGTCTGGCCGTTCTTATGATTAGCTCCCTTATGATTAGATCACTTGGATGCACGGCTTTACATTGTCCATTCATCCATTATGCACCAGTAACTGTGATTGGCCCTGTGTTAAAACACTGCTTCCTCCTCCCACCAACTTCAAACCTAGAGCTAACGGCTGCTTGCTCAGCTCAAGGTAAACTGAGCCCAGGAGCAAGGGGATAGGGTGCCAGATGTGGGCCACCTCTCGCAGCCCAGGTAAAGCCATGGCAGAAACAGTCCAAGCTGCCCCCCCGTCTCAGAGGGAGCACAGCTTGCACCTCCTCAGGGGTCCGGTCAGACCCTGCAGTCCTGCACACAATCGTGCTGCCCTCTCAGGGGACCCCACATTTGCACCCACTGTAGCTGGAATTTTTAGAGACATGGATGCACGTCTGCAAGGAACAAGCTAAAGACCTTTGATTCATTTCACATAAGGCCCCCCCAGTAGCCATCTGATGCTGAGACTCACTCCCAGCTCAGCTGCCCTTAGAACCAGGTAGCCAGAGGCAAAGAGCGCTGCAGCCCTGGTCCCCGTGGCGTTCAGTCCTACTGCCCACAGTTCACTCTGGGAAGAGGAATCCGGGTTTGCAGGTAAGTGACACCTGGGGGAGAAAGAGTCTGACGGAGAAGCCAGCTAAGTGGTTCCCATCACACCCTTCACCTAAGGAAAAGAGGCTCAAATAACAAAGCTGGAGGAAGGCAGAGCTGGGAGGGTTTGTTTTAAAGAGCTTCGTCTCGTCATTAGAAGGAAGGTGATGAAATACCTGACCTCACCCCTCCTGTCCAGGGCAGCCAGGCCAGGCCAGGCGTTAGTTAACAGACAAAGGCAGCGCAAACGAAGATTCAGTGTGTCCTGAGGTACTTCTTCCACTAGCCCAAAATCCAGCTTTAGCGGGGGCCAGGCCGCCTGCTAGTTATGTCCCCCTTTGTCACACCTGCACAGTGGGGTCTAGACACAAGTTGGGGGTGAAGAGAACGCTCCCATGTAATCCTACTGGGGTTTATTTTGCAGGGGGATAGGGAATTGTTCAATATACACTCACCAGTTTAATCCTAAAGCAGAGCTTTCTGCTCACCCCCACACAATTGTTTGTGTAGGCCCTACCCTAAATCCAATTCGTTTTGGAAATTCAGCAGTGGAATGCCAAAAACAACCTGACAAGTCAAATGAGTTATTTCCTGGCACAACTTAAAAATCAGCTTTACTCCACCTGGGGTCAAAGTATCTGAGCTGGGTGCGTGTTAGCGACCGGCAGAGCAAACCTAAGGAGGTTACAGAAAGTGCCAACAGAAAGCCGAGGTGTAATACACGGAGCGGAGTGACGCTGCCCTGGGAAGGGGGGAAGCACTCCCCCATCTGCTCTCAGGGACTGAGCTATATTTATCGCAGGGGGTGCACACATAATCGAGATACGTACAAAGAGGAACCAGCTGTTAAAACCCAAGACCAATCCTTCAGGGAGAGGCTGGACAGTTACAGACCCGTCTAACTGCCGGGAGCACAGGAGCTCGCAGGGCCCAGCGGAAGCAGACCAGGTTGGGGCTGGGCTTACAAACTTGATCTTGCTCCTTTGGAAAGTCTGGGCCCCGTGCGTGCGAGCGGCTGGCACCGGCCAGCATCCCTGTGAACAGTACATTCAATACTGGCTGCACAGATCAGGAGACTTGTGAAGACAACATCTCACAACGGAGCTCCCAGAGAAACCTGCTGAGGAACCGCTGTCCTGCGTCTCAGGCCTGTGGCAGAGCCCAGCAGGCAGGAAAGCAGGGCCGAGGGGAAATCAGCAACAAAAATCAGATGGGGGGATAAGCATGAAGCTAGGGGCCAGCCTGTGCTACCAGCGCAGTGGGAAGGGAGCACCCCTCCCATGCCTCATTTCATCTCTGGGGAAAAAGGCTTCCCCACCCGCTCCGCTGAGAGCGCAGACAGATGCACTGGCTACAGCAGCAGGTATGGAGAACACTCTGCAAGAGTCAGACAAGGGACTCAGTCTTGGCTCCCAGGGCCAAGGCCAGGCTGCTCCCTGGGAGCATTCTCCAGGCAGCTGTGAGCTGAGCAAGCTGCCCTCCAGCACCAGGGGGGTTAACGCTTGGCATGGCTCTTCTCGGGTGATGAGTTGCGGGGACGGGCGGGGTCAATCCGACCTGCTGCAGAAACTTTAGGAGGCCAAATCGCAACTCAGTTCTATGGGATGCTGCTCAGTCACTGTGTCTGACGGATTACAGCTCCCCCCAGCTCTCGGAGGGCTGCGAGACACAGACTTCAATGGGCAGGGGAGCGAAGGGGAGCTGCCCCTGAGAAGGGGAGGCAGGTGGATGGAAGGGACATGGCTGCCTCCCAGTGGATCCCAGGTGTGGCCTTCATGGAAATGAAACATCCCCTGATTTTTAAAGTAACCCTGAAGAGATTCCATGGCTCTGTCCAGCTTCCCCCACCCCACGCCACCCCAGCAGAGAGACCCTTCCCCATACACTGGGCTGGTGTCTCCAGGGATCCTGCAGGGCACCCCCCGCTGGAGTTCTTTGGTATCACTGGGGCTGGTTCTTTATGCTAGAAGTTAACGGCGTCAGCCGGAAATTCCCCGAACGACTGGTTGTTTTTAAATATCTAAAGAAAAAAAAATAGATTCTTCTTCTTGTAAAGAGCCCTTTAGTGTCCGACCTAGCGCCTGGGACGCGCCCAGCTGCCTGCTGGAACGTCCACCGGAGCTTCGTCTCCTGCCAGTGCTTGTGGCCTCCTGCCAGGCCGAGTTCAAAGCGGCCCACACCGGCCACGCCGCTCCTCAGCGCTGGAAGGGACGGCGCACTTTCTTCCGCCTTTTCTGCTTCGAGTCCCCTTTTGGGGCTGCACTCTCTGTCTTCGGGGCTGGAGCAGAAGCAGAAGGAGCTGCTGCCCGGGGGGGTTGGGGTGGGCTGAAGAAGCCCCCGTTGGGCATCTGCCCTGGGGTCCCCTGAAATACGCGGTTGAAGAAGTCCTGCAGGTCTGCAGCCGAGGTAGGGCTGCCTTCAGAGGCGGTTCTGGGGGAAAACAAGAGACGGCCCTTACACATGCAGTTGGGTGTGGAGGTTTGCAAGGGCTAGTGGGTTAGAGCCGGGGGGTCGGCACTCAGGACTCCTGGGTTCTGTCCCCACCTCAGGGGTCTAAGTGGTTTGCAGGGGCTCCTGGGTTCTATTCCCAGCTCGGTCAGGGACTCTCAAAGCAGGCCACTCCCGGTCTCCTCGCCAGGGAGAGCAGCCACACAGCGAGGGAGAGGTGAGGCTAAGGGGCCCGATCCTGCCAGGGGCTCAGTGACCTGCCCTCCTGTTAACTTCAGAAGCATTGGATGGCACTTGGCAGGGGGCTCGGGGATCACTGCGCTCCCGTGACCATTCCACCCAGTGGGGGAGGCAGCTGGAACTCCAGGCAGCTAGAGACAGGACAGGTTGACAGAGCGACAGAGGACGGATCGCTGGCCGACGTTGGTTTAAACACGTCTGAGGACCCCGGGGGGGGGGGGGGGTGTCTTCCAACAACCACAGAAAGGGGGAGTTTTATCTGTACAGAATAATCTGTCCTCAGTCCGCATGGTTTAAAGCCGCAGCGCAGTACTCTGCCACAAGGGGGCACTGCTCCAGGGCCCAGCACTAGCACGATTAGGAAAGCGGGGAGCTATGCTGACCCCATCTAGGAGACGTACTCAGCTCCCTTCGGGCCGCTGATGGGGGATGTCAGAGGGAACTCATGGCTAGCCACAGCTCCCCCAGAAGTGCTCAAGTCTGAGATTTGACCCATCCCCACCCACTCAGACCAAGGCGAGAGCACGAGGGAACCAGAACAGCATCCAGTACCAACCTCTGGCGTCCACCCGAGCCAGAGCTCCTCGATCCAAACGATATGTGATACGGGACGCGGTGGGTGTCGGGAGAGATTCCAACCCGCTGGCAGCCGGCCCACTCTGCAGAAAGACAGGCAGGACACACCATCAGCCAGCAGGAAGCCGCCTTAGCTCAGCGCAGGAAGCAACCGCCGCCATCACCCCTCCCAGCCTCCGGAGCGCAGGAGTAATGACACCGCTCAGGGAAAGCAGGAGGCAGCCGCACCCCCACCAAGGGCTGGCGTCCTCCTCTCCAGCTGGGCTAGGGATCCCGAGGGGGAGGCGTGCTAGGCCCTGACCCATCAGGAGCAGAGGAAGGTTTAAACACAGGTTAATCAGCCTGGGGTAACTGCTATTCAGGGGGCTGGCAAACAACTGGGCAGTTTCACGGTCTAGTCAGGCAGCATGTCCTGGCCCCACAGATGCCCCCTACCTGTGATGTCATAGACTTTCCCATCCATCAGGGCGAAGTAGGTGATTTTCAGCCCCAGCATGCTCGATTCGGCCCAGAAGTCTCCCTCCTCGGCAGGGTGCAGCTTGCCGCACTCCGCGCAGTAGCGAGCGCTGAGTGGATCTCGGTCCATCTCGAACCTCCTAGAGCAGCAGGGAGATTTTCAAACACCGGTAGAGCAGGGCCAGCTTTGCCATGTCACGTCCCAGAGGGACGCGTCCTCCCTCCCACAGCACCCCAAATTCCCAGAATGCTCTGGGACAACCCGCACCAGAGAACACTTGTGCTGAAGGAAGAAGCGCAGCTAACTGGGAAAGCCAGGATACGAGCCCACCAGCTGCAGGATCATCTGGCTGATCCATTCCAGCCACCACGCAGGGCCAGGCCCACTCCTGAGCCCCAGGCCCCATGGAGGGGTAACGCTCCGTGCCCCAGGAGGACGCAGGGCACCAGGCCTGCAAGCAAGAGGTTAAAGCAGTCACCGAAGGCCAGCACCTACTTGTGCTTCCCCTGGCACTTGCTGCACATCATGGTGTTCATGGCCTCTTTCAGGTCTTCCCGCAGCTTGGTGAGGAACTCATTCATGGATTTGGTCAGCTCGCTCTCCGCCATCCGCTTGCTGCAATCACAACGGCATGGGGATGAGTCACGCCCCAGGCGGGACTGGCACAGCACAGCCTCTGCACCCAGCAGTCAGCCCACGCCCTTCCCTGCTGGGCTCAGCCCTCGTCGGCAGCAGGGCCGGCTTTGCACGAGGTTCTTGCCGCAGCCAGCGTGGGGGCACACATCCTTACCTCTTCCCCAGGCCATCGCTGGCCGAGACGTGTCGGCAGAAGCCCGGCACTAGATCAGCACTTGGGAGGCCGCCGGGCCAGGCAGCCAGGCCTAGAAAGCCTCCGCTTTGTTCCATCAGCCCGGGTCTGACGCCGCACCGCACCACTCGCACCAGCCTGTGCACCAAGGTGCTTCGAGCATGGTAAGCCCTCCTCCCCTCCCCACCCATTTGCTCCCATCACCTGTGGCGGCTCCTCGCTAACCCAGGCAGTAAGCGCTCTAGGACAGGGACTGTCTGTAGGACACATTTGTACAGCTCCTAGCACAACAGTGCCCACACCCTGACCTGGGCCACCGGGCCCGACCGTAACACTGATCACAGGCGAGAAGAGAAGAAGAGCCGGAGGGATTTCACTTCTAATCGGACGCCTGAAATTCCCACGTGCCAGTTCTCTGACAGGGGACCAGAGTCTGTCTAAGAGCAACTTCTAAAGGGGATTTAAGTACAGGAGGTTTCTCGGTTAAACCCCTCGTGCTCTGCCTTTGCTCTCATGACCAACAGCTCATCAAACGCCCTTAGTGCCTCGCTCAGAAATTCCTGGCTGTGTCCTCCCAGCAGAGCACAGGAGGTTCACCCACACTCAGGCCTGAAAGCAACGTCTCGCAGTGGCAAGTACTGGAAGAGGACCGGTCCCACTCAAGACACCCGTCTGAAGGCGCCATCCTTGCTCCCCCAGTCAGCTGGGGAAGCAGAAGTCCCAGGGCAGGCCTGAAGCCAGAGCACCGACTTCGGTGGGCAGCTCAGATCAGCAAGTCGCGGTGGGACTGATTAGCACAGCCCAAGATCCCAGCCCACTTTCCTCCCTGTCGCCTGTCCCTCGAGCACACAGAGGTGGGACGGAGGAGGCCATGTTCTCTAACCCGCCACCAGCGACCGCAGGCACCCCTCCATCCCTCGCCTGGCCTGCCTTAGGGGGCAGGAAGGGGCCCCCCCACTCACATCTCATACTCTTTCCTCTTCTCCGGGTTGCTCACGATGTCCCAGGCGGCTCGCAGCACCTTGAAGGCTTCCTCCGCCCGCGGATGCTTGTTCTTGTCAGGGTGAACCTGCGAAGCAAGACACGGAAACCTGAGAACACCTTCGGCACGGACCTCGTCTGGGGCGAGGGGTCTGGCCGGGATGGAGCCCCCTCCAGGGGCAGGACAGCACAGCCAGATGGGGGGGGGGGGGGAAGGAGGGGGTGCTACATGTCCTCATACGAGGCCAACTGGTCCACTCTGGTCTGGCTAGGGCCAGGCTACTGAGCTGGGGAGCCTCAGCCCCCGCCTGCCGCTTCTGGGGTCCCGACCCCTGACTGGCAGCTCCTCGCCTTCCTTCTTAGGCAGCACAAGCAGAGCAGCAAAGGCAGGAGGGCTCCCCATCCCGGCCAGCCCAAAAAAGGGGGCGCCCAGCTGATGAGCTGGGGCAGAAGGGATGGCCAGCACCAAGGGGAGCCTCAAAGCCATCAAGCGCTCCCAGCGCGGCCCCCGCCGCGACTCCATGGTGCTCGCATGGCGACTCCAACTGACAAAGCTGCGTCAGGACGGGCCGCCACCACCCCGAGGTGTCAGGGCTCGGAGAGCGCCCCAAGGTGCTGCTGCCCTGGCCTGCCAGGGTGCAATCGCCAGGCTCCACCTGCCCCCGACAGGTCCCCACGTCTCCCTAGAGCTCAGCTTGTTCTGCCAGTCCCTCCTCACCCCAGCCGGGGCAGTCAGAGCACAGCTGATGGCACTGAGTGGTTCCTCCGAACAAGGGGCACAGTGGAGGAGACCGAATTGCAAGAGGAGGCGGATCCCCTTGGGGCCGGGAAGCACGCGAAGGCTGCCCCGGGCCGTGACTCTTTAGAAGAACCCAGGAAAACAGGAAGCACATGGGGCAAAATGTCAAGCAGAATTTTCACTTTATAAAGGACGTGGAAAGCCCAGCGTCCCCTGCTGAGATACCAGGCAGGACCGGGCACTAGAGTCAGTCAGCTGCTCGGCCCTGCAGCCCGTGCCAGTCTCAGCACAAGCTTAACTCGGGAGCTGCTGCCGGTGCCGCCAGCGATTAACACAGATCCCCACGCCACTGGCGAGGCCTTGTGGTGGACCTGCCAAAGCAAGGGATTCACAGGAAGGAATCTGGGTCTCACTCCAGCTCTGAAACAGACAAGTTACGTGGCCTTTGGACAAGTCACCCTAACTGTGTGGGTCTCAGTTTACTCATCTGTAATATGGGGGCAGGGGGTTAAGCATATTGAGCCTCAGTGGGGAGAGGCTACAGAAGAGTGACTCACTCTCCCCCCGTAAGAGGACAATGCAGCTCGAATGGAGTTCCTGCCTCATGCCTCCCAGGTGCTCGGGTGCCATGGGGCTGGGGGCGATGTCCGTCCGTCCCCCGCCACACTCACCAGCACAGCCAGCTGACGATAGGCCTTCTTCAGCTCCGTGTCTGAAGCAGTCACCTCCAGCCCCAGTACCTGAAAGGGGTTCAGCTCTTCCTCAGGCACGTCGGCCAGGGCCAGCAGCCGTGCCACCTCCTGGCTGGGCTGGTAGCGCCCCCCTGGGCCAGGATCAGGGCCAGCCCCAGCCTCTGCCAGCCCGTCGGTCCTTAGCCCTTTGGCTGCCCCAAGCAGCCCTCTCCACTTTTGCAGCAAGCGTGCCACGTACTTGCAAGTCCTGGTTTCCTGGACGAGAGCCCCCGTTCTGCGGAGGAAGGGGGAGTCCAGGAGCGAGAGGAGCCGGGCCACGCAGCTGGTTCTGCCCAGCTTAGCTGCCCCAGCAAGGAGCAGCGACTTGGAGACTCGCCAGCACAGCCGCAGGCTGCCCAGGAGCAGCATGAGCACCAGGAAGAGCAGGGCACCCAGCATCTTGAGCAGCCGCCACATCCGGTTCCCCCCGGAACCCAGCCACCGGGCCGCCGTCCCCGAGCTGCTCCTGGCCCACTGGCTCCACGTCCTCATGCTGCCTTGGGCTGAGGCCCGGTCCCAGGCGTCGAGCTGACAGCAGGAGTAGAGGAGCCTCCCACCAGCTTCCACGTACTCGCCACACTCATGGGTGATGACCAGCACCAGCTTGATGAGCTTCTTGAAACAGGAGACGCAGACCCAGGCCAGCTCTTCCAGCTGCTTGGGGACCTCCGCTTTTAGGTGGCGCCGCCGGTCCGCATGGCTCCTCTTCCTGGCCTGCTTGTGCTTCCCGCCAGCCGGCGCAGATCTACCCTCCCGCCTGGCGTTCTCCTTCCCCTCCTCCTTGTCCTTCGTGCCAGAGCGGTGCCTCTGGCGTCTCCCATTCTTCCTGCCGCCGAGCACCCTGCCAAAGTCCGAAGGGTCCTCGCTGGCCTTGGACACTCCGTCATCTTCCTCGTCTTCCTCCTGGCCCTGCAGCGATGGGGCCGAATCAGGAGCAAAGGCTTCGTCCTCGGCTCCAGGGGACTCTGAAGCCCAGCGCTGGCAGGTGATGCTACACGAGCAGTTCCCCTTTTCCAAATAAGTCCTGGAGGGATCCAAACTCTCCCCCCGACAACTACAGGAACGTTCATAACTGGACAGACAGGAGCCAGGGGCACTGGACTCAGTAAAGTGCAAGCCATCCTCTTCGAGCAACCCCGTCGGTACTCGGTCGCAGCTTCCATTCCAACCAACGCCCTCCCCTGCGGTGCAGGCAGGCCTCTGCCCGCCGCCTTCTGGAAAGCCCTGATGGGGAGAACGGGCGGCCTCCTCCACCTTCCCTAGCCTCTCGGCTGCTGGCTCGGCTAGCAATGTCCCAGCAGCAGCTGGCCCATGAGCCTCCATGGGTTCCAAGCCTTCGGTGGCTCCGTGGAGTAGTTTCGGCCAGCTCTGGCTCGGAGACGTATGCTCGGGGCCTTCAGGACTGCAGCATTCTTGGAAGAAGTGGCAGCCGCTAGGCCCAGTCCTTCCCGGATCCCCAAAACTTGAGAACAAGGGTCTGTTATCCACACAAGGGCTGGCCCCTGGTGCACCCCTGCCCTCGGAGAGCTCGCCACTCCAGCAGCAGGAACTAGCCGGTTTGGCTTCACACATCCCTCCTCCTCCAGACATCTGCTTCTCCACTGCCTCACCCCCAAAGCCGCCCTGGAGCAGCAAGGGTTAAGTTACAGCTGTCATTTTGTAGCCTTTATCCTGCAAATTAAAAAAAATAAATAAATAAAATCAACGGCGTCAAAACCAGGCTCAAGGCCAAGATACGTAGTGTGAGGGCTCGAAGGGTAGCCCTGGCCGGGAATCGAGAGTGGTCTCCGAGGCTCATTCTCAAACCCACAGTCCAGGCAACTGGACCTACCTTCTGACACACTGAGAGCGGAGCGGACTGGGGGCCCCTGAAAGGGGAGACAGAGCTTTCCCCAGCTCAACTCATTCGTAGACAGCAGCAACCACCCAACAGCTGCTTGCGGAGGAGCCACTGACGGTCGCAGTCCGGATTCCAGGTATTCAGCTCTCAAAGCTCTACCCCCACAAGTGCCAGCGAACTCCCCTCTCACCCCACAGCAGTCGTGGGAAGCTGCCGCTCGTGCTGGCCGTGGCCGTACAGAACTTCCTCGCACGCAGCTTTCACCAGCACTTGAAGAGAAATCCACTGGCCATCGCTTCAGTCACCAGGCTTCCTGCCCCGGCTCCAGGACCCCGAAGTGACCCTCTGGGAGGCTGTTCCTTCGCCCGACAGGCGTCCCTACAAAGCCTGTGGGGAGAACAGAGAGTAAAGCGCCGTCACTTGACTCCGGATTAGGAAGCGCCCACACGGCACGGCAGAGTCTCAGCGAGCCCCCGCTCACCCCTGAACGAGCTTTCGCTCCTAGCTTGGATTGAACCCTGAAATCCTGGCCCAGAGCTGGACTAGGGACTCACGCGCCTCTCACGCCTGCCACGACCTCGCCCCATGGGGGGCGGCAGCTCGGTCCCAGCCCCATGGGGGGCGGAGCAGGGGCCTGGCTCCCAGCACAACGCGGGAACCGGCCCTGCCCCGCTGCCGGGGGTCAGACAGACCCAGCGCCCCCAGCACTGGGGTGCATCGTGCCCCACTTCTCTGACACGAGGCCTCCGCGCCCCCCCCGGGCGGGAGCTGGGGGCAGCGACCCCCCCCCGGGTACCGCCGTGAAACGGGGGCTCAGCCCGGGGGGGGGCAGGCCCAGGCCCGGGGGGGGGGGTGCCCCCCGGGGGGGGGGGGGGGAACCCCCCGCCCCCGGGGCCGGGGGGGGGGGTTTCCTCCTCCGCCTCTTGCCCCCCCGGGTCCCCGTCTCTCTCCACTTCCGCCTTCCGCCCGCCGTGACCGCGGCCGCTTCCACTTCCGGGGCAGAGGGCGGGGCTGCCGAGCGTCTCGCCCGCCCTGCCCCTTAAAGGGCCAGCGCCCCAGAAACCCTCCGCCATGTGCTGAGCGCGTCAGGCCTCAGCCTGGGGCTGCGGCAGCGGGTTTGATCCCCAGCTTGGCCCCGGGCCCCATCCCCCCCCCAGCCCCCCCTCGCCCCCCCCCCTCGGCCGCCCCCCCCCCCCCCCCAGCCCGGCCAGCCCCCCCCCCCCCGCTGCTGCATCCCCCTTGGCGCTACACAGCCCCCTCCCCAGCAGCCGCCGCAGAAAAAGAATCAAAAGAGACGGAGCCGGGACTTCTGGGATCTATTCCCGCTCTGCCCTGGCCGGCTGGGTGACCTTGGGCAGGTCACGACCCCACTCAGTGCCTCAGTTTCCCCATCTGTAAAATGGGGATAATGACTTTGTAACACACCACGAGACCCCCTGGTGAGCAGAGCTCAGTGGGGCTAGTGTTACTGTTAGTGTTACACTCTGTGGGGCAGAGGCGATCTCCTTGTTCTGGGTCTGTGCCGCACCTGGCACAAGGGGGCCCGGCTACCAGTGCCTGACCAGCGCGCCCACCACACAGATAGGACATAAAACAGCTGGCTGAGAAAAACTCTCCGCTCCCCAGGTGTTTCTGCTTGGAGATTCCCAGAGGAGAAGCATCAGCCCTTCCTCCAGCAGAGAGCAACGTGTCCCTTTGAACCCGCTCCAGCCTGCTGGCCGGGAGGCAGCACCCCCTGCTATTTCGGTTGGCTCAGGGTGGCCACCTTGATG